GAAGCAAAGCCCAAACCACACCCACTGCCTGGAGTCCATTCTGACCCACAGCGCCCCTAGAGGACAGAGTGGAACTGCCCACAGGGTCTCCCAGGCTGTCAGTCTTCACAGAAGCAAAGCCCAAACCACACCCACTGCCATGTAGTCCATTCTGACCCACAGCGCCCCTAGAGGACAGAGTGGAACTGCTCCAGAGGTCTCCAAGGCTGTCAGTCTTCATGGAAGCAAAGCCCAATGCACACCCACTGCCACGGAGTGGATTCCGACTCTTAGTGACCCCGTGTGACACAATAGAAGTGCCCTGTGGCTTTACTAGGCTGCCATCTTTCCAGGAGCAGATCACCAGGCCTTCTCTCTTGGTGTATCAAACTACCCACCTTCTTGTTAGCAGATTATGAAGGAGAAGTGACTTAAAACTGATTTAGCTAGACTGTCATCAAATGTGGGGGTCCAGTTTTCCACAATTACAAACAACACTGCAACAGACATCCTCAAATACACTTCTCTGCCCACTAGGGTGAGGGTGTGTTTAGGACAGATTTTAGAAGTGGAATAGCTCAATCAAAGGGTTCTGTGCCTTGAAAATAGAGACTAGATTCTGCCCAGTTGCCCTGCAGAAGGTGTGCCTACGACAGGGAGTGTGCAGGGGCTGTCAGAAGGCACATAAAAGGTGGGACTCACTTTCCCCTGGAAAGACAGAAGTGGGAGAAGGAAAGAAAACCAGGGAGGTAGGGAGGAAGGAACGGTGTGGGTCCTGGGCAGGGGCCGTGTCTGAAGGGTCTGGCCCACACCTCACATACAGGTTGAATGCATGAGAAGTCTTTCCAGGACTGACAGCATCACTGTGCAGGATCATGAAGGGCTGAGCAAGAGGGCAGGAAACATGCTCCCACGGGGTGGCCGTGCCCAATGATGGGCTCATTTTACTGCAGGGGCCTGGAAGGGTTGCCTGGGGGCCTTTGCTGGGCTTGGGCATTCCATGTCAGACCTGGGCCTTGGCGGTGGTCAGCTGCTGGCCACATGGCTCCAGGCATGCTGTCTCCCCGGTCTTCTAGTCCCGCCAGATTCTGGAGGATGTAATCTAAATCCCACTCTTCGAGTTGCTGAAATGATGAAGTCAGTGGTTACAAGCTGTTCCAGGGCATTGACTCCCCAGCAGTGCCTGCTGCTGCTGCGGACGGAGGTGAGCGTGGGTATTTCACGCGGTGTGCTCGTGTCGGAGTTTGCACCTGGGCTCCCTGCCTTGCTGGGCAGCTGAATGAACCCCCCCCCCCCATTAAGGTGGGAGCTGTCTTTCTTGCCACCCACTTCCTTCCTGTCTTTTGGACAATCCTTAGTTTTGAAGGCTCTCCTGGTGTTTAAACAGTTAAATGCTCGACTTGATGGCAGTGGGTTTGGAAGGGAGGAAGTTAACCAAGAATGAGTGTATGTTATTTACAGTTTTTTCAAGAACTTGCAGCTCTATAATCCACTGTCGTCAACTCACAGCGCCCCTAGAGGATAGAGTAGAACTGCCTCATTGGGTTTCCAAGGCTGTCAGTCTTTACAGAAGCAGAATGCTGCATTTTTCTCCCGTAGAGTGGTTGGTGGGTTTGAACCACTGATCTTTTGGACTGGCACCTAAGTGCTTTAACCTCTGCACCACCAGGGCTCCTTGAAGCCCTCTCCAAAAAAAACCCCTCAAACTCGCTGCCATCAAGTCAATTCTGACCCCTCTCTATTGGGTTTCCAAGGCTGTAAATCTTTATAGAAGCGATTGCCTCATCTTTCTTCCATTTGAACAGCTGATGGGTTTGAACCACCAACCTTTTGGTTAGCAGCCAAATGCCTTCACCACTATACCACTATGTTGTTGTTGTTACATGCCGTTGAGTTGGCCCTGGCTCATAGCGACCCCTCCTTGGGTTTCCGAGGCGGTATCACTACAGAAGTAGGATTGCCAATAAAGTTTTATCTAAAACATGTAAACAGGCAAAAAGCAGGCGGCTTGGGCTTCCACGGCCATGCTGGAGCATTTCCTAACGAGCCTGCTTTCCTAAGGGACAGTCCCTTCGTCTGCACGAGGCTCTGCCTATTGCACAGCATTGAAGAACTGAGGAGAGAGGACTGCCCGGACGGGACAGCTTCATTGCCCGGTAGGACATGGACTAATGGCACCTGAGGTAGCAATTTTCTCTGTTCCTTTCTTTTTCCCCAGTGACTTCCCAAATCCCAGCTCCTCACAGTTGCTGGGAGCCAGCTTTGCCGTCCTGCTGGTCAACAAGCTACTACAACTCTAACAGGTGCTTGCTCTTCGTCTGTAGGGGGACGAGGACTCCCACACGTTTGTGGTGGTGGTTGAGAAGACGCACAGCAGAGGACACACCAGATCAGCAGTGTCTACGTGCACATTCTAGGACACTGATCATGTTCTTTGAGTTAATGCAACCCTCCTCACCTCCTCTGTGTCTGGGTTCTTCCTCCCCCACCAACATCAACTCTCTGGACTTTAGCATTTTGAGAAATTCTGACAGAGTCTTGTCCTATATTTTATCTATGGCGGTACAGGCGTGCCTCGGAGATACTGTGGGTTCATTTCTCAACCACCGTGACAAAGCGAGTCTTGCAATTAAGCACGTTTTCTGGTTTCCCAGTGCATGTACAAGTGATGTTGACGCTCTGCTATAGTCTATTAAGTGCACAATAGCGTGATGAAGAAGTCTGAAATATTCTGAGAATGACTACATTGGGACAGAAGGACGTGAGCACATGCTGTTGGCAACATGGCACCAACAGACCTGTTCAATGCAGGGTTGGCACAGACCTTCAATTTGTATAGAACACAGTGTCTGCAACAGGCAATAAAGCAAGGGATGCCTGCAGATGGTATCTGTGCACACTTGGAATTAGAATTCTGTGGAGAGCCCTAAGTCTTAAGGACTGATGGGACATGGTGAGTGACTAATTGAGCAACGGCTCCCATAAACAGGTTGATACTTTTAAGTGTCCCCATATGGGTTGATGCTGTTAAGTGTCCTTGTAGGTTGGGCTCTCGCTCTTAGGACACTTAACAGCATCAACCCATATGGGGACACTTAAAAGTATCAACCTGTTTATGGGAGCCGTTGCTCAATTAGTCACTCACCATGTCCCATCAGTCCTTAAGACTTAGGGCTCTCCACAGAATTCATTGCTTTTCCTCTTTAGAAGAGGCTGGGATCACCTTGTCCTCATTCTTAACTTGCCCTGAGGATAGTTCGTCTGCCGGGACCATACCCCCTGGAACTGGGAAGTTGGAGGTGAACCTGAACCGGGGGTCAACAGTGGTTTGGGGCTAGGCTTGAGCCAGTCTGTGCAGGTCAGCTACCTGCGTCCCCAGTGCACGTGGTAGGGGGCCTGGAGACACCCACCTGAAGGGAGAGCACTGGCTGGTTGGCTTGAGGTCCCCCTGGTGGCGTCTCTGGTCTTGGATCTTGTCGGGGTGTCTCCTTTGCCCGGGTGTGGTCGCCGCAGGCTAAGGCCTGGGCCCCCTGGGTCACTTTATGGAGTATGTCTCTCTCTATCAGCCTCCTCCTCTCCCGTCGCAGGGCTCTGAGGCCCACAGAAGTGGAACTCTGGTGGGCTGATAAGGTGGTGCTGGGACCCTCTGTTGTTAGGGTGTCCTCTGCATGGGTGGAAGTGGGGCCTTCTCCCTGAAGCCCCCTGGGAGGACACTGGGGCTCTCTGGTGCTGAAGGAGATGCCTTCTAGGTTGCCTTCCTGCCACGTGGGGCTCTCCTCAGGGATCCTGGCAAGATAGCTGGTCTCACCATGGCTCTGGAAAGGCCCTCGGGGGCCTCTTCCTTCCTGAGAGGAGGAATCCAGGGTGCCGGACTTCTGCTCACTCCCGTACTCCTCAGCGAATTCCACAGGCACCGGAGCTGGCTCCTGTGAAGAAGAGGTCCGTCCTTAGCAGGGACATACCATAAGGATTTGTTATTGCTAACCTCAGGGAATTGTCTCCTAAAGCTTCAGAATTGTCTGGTGTCACAGAGGGAGTGGGTGTCTCTGCGTGTGTGCGTGTGTTTCTGTGTGTGTGTGTGTGGGAGGGCCCTGGCGCCGACTGCTGTGACCACTTCTGTAGTCACACCTCAGTTTTAGCTGCACCAAAAGGTCTTACCTGACATGAACCAACAGGCATGACCACGTTTCAGAGATACTTGGCCTTCGAGCATGGCTTGACACACAGTGATACAGAGGGCAGTGGTGGGTCAGTGGTAGAATTCTCACCTTCCACGCAGGAGACCCGGGTTCAGTTCTTGGCCAGTGCACCTTATGTGCAGCCAACCCCTGTCTGTCAGTGGGGCTTGTATGTCCTCAGGATGCTGAACAGGTTTCAGCGGAGCTTCCAGACTAAGAGGGACCAGGAAGAAAGGCCTGGTGATCTACTTCCAAAAATCAGCCAGCGAAAGCCCAGAGGAACACAGTGGTCCCACCCACAGCTGATGGTGGAGATGGGCATGACTGGGCAGCGTCTCATTCCATTGTGCGTGGGCTCACCATGTGCTGGGGAGTGACTCAACAAGCAGACAAAGCACATTGATAAATACAAACCCAAGACGACCCTGGGAAGCTCCCACTAAGACATGTTCTTAGTTGGAGATGACGACACACCAGGTGTCCTGCTTCGATGTATGAGAATAGAGCAGAGTTTAAGCAATGGAGCAACGTTTAAATGATCAACAATAGCAACAATAGGCACTGCTTGTCACTGCCTGTGTACCTGGACAGCGCAGAAGGTCTAATCATCTCCCAGCCCCAGGATGGAGGGCCCGTTACAGCTGCCACTTGACACATGAGGAAAGTGAGGCTCAGAGCGTGGAGTGTGAGGTCCAAGGCCACACGGCCATTAAGTGGCAGCAGGAGGAAATCCAGGCCCTTTGACTCTAAAGCATGACTTTGTTGGCCCAGAATTAAAAAAAAAAAAGAAAGAAAAATGCAGGAGAGTTCCCAAATTGATTGTAGGAATGAAGAAAATGCAAACTAAAGTCATGTGGGCATTTGTCACCTGAACCAGTGCTGGGCTTGTCCACCCGGCCATTTCTCCTGTGTCTGGGTCATCGCAAACACATTTTTGGGCCTGGCTGTGAGGTAGGCGATTTCTGCCACGGTGATGGACTGGACAAGTTCTCAGCTGGCACAGTGCTTGAGCCCCTCCTCCCGCTCAATGAAGATGGTGGGTCACCCGGCATTTGGCTGAGCGGGTTCGGTCTGGTGCTGGTCCAGTTTCTGGGGGCATTCACACCTTGGCTCCATTCACATTTTGGAAGTGGGTTAAATCCCAAACCAAACCCATTGCTGGCAATTCTGATTCACAGTGTCCCTAGAGGACAGAATAGAACTGTCCCAGAGGGTTTCCAAGGCTGTCGATCTTTACAGAATCAGACTGACTGTCTCATCTGTCTCAGCCATGGAGTGACTGGTGGATTCAAACTGTTGACCTTTTGGTTAGCAGCCAGATGCCTTAGCCACTGTGCCACCAGACCTCTTTGGAAGTGCATTGTTGTTGTTGTTGTTGTTTTTATGTGCCGTCGAGTCGGCCCCAACTTATAGCGACCCCTCCTTGGGTTTCCGAGGCAGTATCACTACGGAAGTAGGATTACCCAACCTTCCTTCCAAGGAGTGGCTGGTGGGTTTGAACCGCCAGCCTTCTGCTTAGCAGTCAAGTGCTTTAGCCACCATGCTACCAGAGCTCCTTGGAAGTGCATTAGAGCCCCTAATATGTTTTCACTTAGTCAAGACCACATGAAGAGAGCTGACAGGTCTGGCCAGTTGAGGACCTGCATGATGATGATGAACTCTGTAAAGGCAGAAACCTATTTGTAGCACCAAGCTGCTGCCTGTATACAGAATCCTTGATCTTAACAGAATTCTTGAATCAGGGAGTGTCCCGGGGAGGTTTCAAATGGTCTTGTGTCTTCTCACATTTATTCGAGGTGGGTTTTTTTTGGTTGTTGTTAGTTGCTGTGGAGTCGACTCCGATTCATGGTGACCCGTGTGTAACAGAGTGGAACTAACTGCTGGCACCATGGGGTTTTCAGTGTGGCCCTTCAGAAGCAGGACACCAGGCCTGCCTTCTGAGGCGTCTCGGGTGAGTGCAAACCAGCCACCAACCTTTCGGCTAGTCATTCAGTGCTACTGTTGTTCGTGTCACCCAGGGACTCCCACTGCATCAATGTGCGTTTGGGGAGCTGTTTATACACGAGGCTCGAGCCGGGCTGGGGGGTTCACAGGCAGCTCTCAGCCCAGGTGGGTTAAGGGAGAGAGAGGCACTGAGGAGAATGGATCATAACCGCTAGGCCAGTGGCTCGGAGGGTGGTAAGAAAAAAAATAGGATGGAGGTGGGGTGGGGGCAAAAGGAGGAAGGGGCAGAATCGGAAAACCGACTCCCTGCTGAGCCCTCGGTGCTGCTGGGCTCCCTGGCGGGGGTCTGGCGTGGTGGTTTGCATCTGGAGAAATGATAGGAGCTTGCAGGGATGCCCCAGTGGCCATCAAGTCGGCCTTGGCTCATGGCGCCCCCATGTGTGTCAGAGTGGAACTGCGCCCATAGGTTTTCAGTGGCTGATTTTTCAGAAGTTGGTGGTGCATTCGTGAAAAGCATTCTGCTTCTAACCAAAAGGTTAGCAGTTTGAACCCACCAGCCGCCCCGTGGGAGAAAGATGAAGTAGTCCGCTTCGGCAAAGATTTACAGGCTGGGAAACCCACAGGGCAGGTCTGCTTTGTCCCACAGGGCTGCTGTGAGTCAGAACGGACCTGACGGCAGCTTTTCTGGTTTTCCGATCACCAGGCATTTCTTCCAAAATGCTGCTGGGTGAATGTGAACTTCCAACCTTTCAGAGAGTGGCCCAGGTGTTAACTGGGCCACCCAGAAGCTCCAGGAGATGCTAGAACCGCACTTTGAACCACTTTAAATCCAAATTCCTTTTAGACTGTAATGAGAGCCATAGAGACCCATGTCCACGTGCATGTACATACGTGTACAAAGACGTCTGCATACCCCATTCTGCCCGCAGGGTCCCAGGCATGGTGGATCCCCAAGGCCTGAGTCCCACAGACCTCATAAGGATCCGTGTTGGCTGCAGCCACCCAGCTCCTGGATGGAGCTCCATCGATGGCAGGGTCCTCAGCCAGCTCCTCTGACAGGTCGGGAATCAGAGCGGTTTGGTCTCGCTGGAAGATGAATAGCTCCTCTTCCTCGCAGTCCGACTGTTGAGACAAGTGTGTGTGGGGCTTTCAGATTACACAGCAGCAGGCAGGGCCAGGAGGGCCTCAGCCCCGCCAGCCCCCAGTCCTCACCCTCGCAGGCCTGCCCTGCCTTCCCACTCAAACCCAGCCTGGGAAGAGCCAGTTCTCTATCACAGCAGCCTTGCCCTGCACTGGCTGACTCCATCCACTGACAAGTGAGCTCAGCAGCACCCTTTTGTGGTGTTGGAGTCAGGGCTCTCCGGTGGCGAAGTGCCTAAGACATTTGACTGCTAACCAGAAGGCTGGCGGTTCAAACCCACAGCCACTCCTCAGAGGAAGATGGGGCAATCTACTTCCATAGAGATACTGCCTCGGAAACCCAAGGATGGGTCACTATGAGTTGGAATCAACTCAACAGCAGTGAGTTTGGTTTGGCTTATTATTATTTTTTTTTTTTGGGAGGGGGGATGCTGCAGGAACCTACCACCTGAGACCTTTCATACAGCAGGTGCCCGGTTAACATGTGGTGATGGATGCACAAGGCCACAAGAGCAGAGTCCAGTCCACAGCCTCTCCTGTGACTGTGAGCTACCGCTAATGACACAGAGTCTGGGTTTGCCATCTCTATGGCAGGGGGTGCTGGTACCCACCCTGTCCTCCTCATCCCCAGATGAGATCTAAAGGGTCGTGCTCTAGAACTGTGGAGTGCTGGGGTCTAGTTACCTTCTCCCCATTGGCCTCCCAGGTCCTGGGGCCCAGAAAGCTGTCTCCTTCACCTGTGCAGGTGCCCCAGGGAGAACTTGAACCTGGGCCCATCACTTCTAAAACCCATGCCCTTCCTCTGGGCCCTCAGTCTCAACTAGTCTGCAGTGTGGTGCTGGGGGCTCCTGCCTGACACTCCGCCCACCCTACCTTGTTGCAGAGCCACCGTTGTATCTCACACACATGTTCATGTCCATGTCCCAGGTATGCGGGGAAGCTGGAACTGTCTGTTTACACCTGAATTCCAAGTCACTTCCCATCACTGAACGTTCTCTTAATCAGTAGAAACTAGGAATACAGTCACTGTCAAGATGAGGTGGGGTCTGGGATAGAGCTGTAATGTTTCAAAGGGCTTTGTGAATGTTTGTTGAGTGACTGCAGGTGATCAGTAGTAACAGTGACTGTGTATTGAGCATGTACCATGCTGCTTCAATGTGAGTGACTTGATCATCATGACAGTGCCATAAGGTACACATACAAGGGTGCAGTTAAGCCAGCCTCTTAGGAAACGGGCTGAGAGACTTGAAGGCATTTGCTTGTGAATAGACAACCAGAAAAGCAGAGCTGGGGGTTGAACCCAGGTAGTGTGGAGCCCCAGCCCTTAACTCCCACATGATACTGTTGGCTGTCTGTGCTGCACACAAACCAGCCCAGGTGTTTGCCCGGACAGGGGTGACTTTCTTCATGCTGTTTGTTGGGCACCTGCTCTGGGCCAGGAACTTTATGCAAATCTCAGATTTGACCCAGTGAGGACCAACTATGGTTCGCAGCCCAGGAAACAGGTGAACTAGGTGAGGTCACCTCGCCCAGGTAACACAGCCAGTGAGCAGCCAGTGGGTCGTCTTGATGCAGAAGCTGCAGCTCTTTGTGCTCTGCTCTGTGCTGTTCCCGGCCCTCTGCTGGGCCAGGACGCCAGCACCCAGAGCCCGACTGGTTTCAGCACATTGTGGTGAGCCCTTGGAGCAAAGAAGTGACTGCAAGGAAGCTGAGCAACCAGACATGTCCGGAGGACAAGGCAGAGAATGCGGCAGACGCGGAACAAAGGATGGAGCAGGATGCCGGAACCCAGAAAACACAGCTGTCAGTATGGCCGGATGGTGGGGAACAAAGTCAGCTCCACTCCCTTCACCACCGTCATTAAGGGCAGAGGGAGAAGCCCAGAGAGGGGTGCTGCAAATTTGTCCCTGGATCGGCGTCCTGTCAGGGGAGAAAGACAGTCAGGGCCCCGGGGGAGAGCTCTGCTTACCGAGGAGGAATCCGAGTCCAGGGATGGAATCTGTGCCTTGACGGCCTCCAGGATGGCGCCCCAAGGAGAGCCTGGCAGGGCTGCCACATCCCTGGATGCCATGAAGCCTGGTCATGGGCTGCCTCTCAGCATGCCATCATCTAGGGAGCCCTGGGGAGGACACACAGTGAGGCAAGAAGGGTCCAGGTGGTTAAAGGTCTGAAGAGAGGGGGCTGCTGCTTCAAAGCACCCACCACCCCGTAGGAGATGGAAACAGACTGTCAGACTCCTGCCTTGTTTTCCCCTTCTGGTTCTCCAGTGTTCTTTCACTAAGTGCTGGGCTCTGAGCTTGCTCCATGTGTATGTAGTGCGTCCATAGTACATATGTGGTCTACCTATGCTAATGTATGTGTATGTGATGTATCATGATGTATATAGATAACATATGTATATGATATACAACGATATATGTGATAAATGTGTATTTCATTCTGTTTTACATAGGGTTGCTGGGAGTCGGAACCAACTCAACCGTACCTAACAATATATATATACACACACATGTATATGCTCAGATTTGCTCGAATTGTCCCAACAACTCCAGTGACATACAGACCGTTATTATCACCATTTTACAGGCTCAGAGAGGTTACATGGTTGGTAAATGGCAAAGGGAGAATGGGGTTCTAAGGGGGATTTCAAGCCTACTGCCCTTTACTGCCCCTCACAGAAAAAGTGACTTCTTGTATTCCCCAAGAGATTTCTTGTCCTCGAGATTTCTTGTGGTGATGGCCCCATGGTACTTACCCCTTTTGCCCAGGCACTGGGCTAGCCCTGCCCTGCTGTTTCCTCTGCAGGGAAGTGGGGCCTGGTGTCTGGGAAGAGAGAGGCCCCTCTCGTGCACCCCCAGGCCCCAAACCCTCATTTGTGCCTCTCCCGGTGGTTACTGCCTGGTCTCTTTGGACCAGTGCTGTCCAGTAGAATGCAATGTGAATCATGTCTGTAGTTTCATATTTTCTGGGAGTCACATGAAAAGGAACATGTCTTAGTTCTCCAGTGCTTCTATAACAGAAATACCGCAAGTGTATGGCTTTAGCAAACAAATTTATTCTCTTACGGTTTAGGAGGCTAGAAGTCCAAGTTCAGACTACTGGCTGGAGGGGAAGACTAGGCTAGAAGTTCCCAGTTAAGAGTGCTGGCTCCAGGGGCTGGGTGGAGGCTCCTTGACCTTGGACTTCAGCTCTGCCTTTTGTTCCAGGCCCACTGGAGCAAGCTGGAGGCTTCTGACTCACGCAGCTGCTGAGTCTGACAAATCCAAGATCGGCAAGTAAAACAGCACATTGTTGGCTCACAGGCTTTTCAGGCAACAATCTCAAGATTAGCAGGCAACACAGCAGACTGCTGGTTCAAGTTCAGGAACTGGAGATGAAGACTAAACCAAATGCAGGATCCTTTTTATATATACTAAGGAACTCTGATGGCACAGTGACTAAGGCATTTGACTGCTAGCCAGAAGGCTGGCAGTTCAAACCCACCAGCTGCTCCATGGAAGGAAGACAGGGCAATCTACTTCCATAAAGATTTATGGCCCCAGAAACCCAATGGGGGTCGCTATGAGTTGGAGTCAACTTGACAGCAGTGGGTTCGGTTTTCTATATATACTGGAAGCAGGCCAAACCCCGGAAGGCAACTCTCCCTCAACCGAATAACTGCTTACAGCAGATTCCACCATGGAGGTAATTACACAATGTCCAGTCATCATGGGGAATAACCACATCCAGCTGCCAAGGCACTCAAAATTACAGCCCAGCCAAAGTGACACACAACTACTACAGAACAAGTGAACTTAATATGCTTTATTTAACCCAATATATTCAAAATATTGTTTAGACATGCAGTCAATGTAAAATTAATGAGACATGTATATATATGTGTGTGTGTGTGTGTGCTAAGTCTTGGAAATCTGGTGTCTATTTTGTACTTGTAGCACATTCACTTTAGATTCAGCACGTTTGGAGGTTCAGTGGCCACATGGTCACTGCCCCTGAACTGGATAGCACAGCTCTAGTGCATGCGTTCCCTGAGGGCAGGTGCTGTGCCTTACTTCTCTCTGTAATCCCAGCCCCAGCTCAGGGTCCTGGGACGTGTTTGATGAATGGATGCAACGGTCCAGTTTCCTTCCCCAGTTTTTGAAATTCTGATCCTTGGGTCAGCGGAGGAGGCTTTACCTATGAACATCTTCTCATGAATCTTCACAGCACCCTGTTGGCATCTTCATCTTACAGATGAGGGGATCGAGGTTCAGGGCAGTGAAGTGACTTGCTGCAGGTCCCATAATAAGAAAGGGTGAGCCAGAGCTGCTCAACGCTCAGGGGAACCCGGGGAAACCGCAGGGGGCGTGAGTAGGTCTTCTGAGCTCACGGAGGGGAGGAAGGCAGGTGCACGGGGCAACCTGCACTGGGGAAGCAGGCGTGGTCTCGTCTGGTCCATACATGAGGCCGTGTTTTTGGAGTGAGAGCTGTGCTTGGACGCAGTATTTCATGGGGCAAGAGAATCAGAGAGAGGACCGGGGGGGAGGGGCGGGGGGCGGCGCTGGAGACTGTTAACCTGTTAAGCTGGAGCCGTTAAGCGGATGAAGAGAGAAAAAGGCATTACAAGTAGGACGACGAGCCTGCACTGGGGCTCAGAGGAGTGAAAAACATGCTTGACGAAGAAGGTATCAGTGGCTGGAGTATGCGGTGAATACGGGCCAGAGCGCGAACGATCCTGGAGGCCAAGCAGAGGAGCTCGGCTCAGGGCAGATGCCACTGGAAAGGGAAGCGCGGAGCCGCCTCTGAATGCTGACTCCACGTCCGTTTCTTGGCTGCAGCCCGTTGGCCCGCCCTCAAACCGCCTGCTAAGAGGCAGCCGGTTGTCATGACAACTAGACGCCAACAGCCTCCGGGCTGAAATCTTAAATTCTAAAGCTGGGAAGCAGGAAATTTTGTCTTTCTCCTTACCCAAGGGGCTCTGGTACTGAAGTGGTTAAAACATTTACGATCCTAACCAAAAGGTCAGAGGTTCAAACCCACCAGCCGCTCCACGAGAGGAAAATGAAGACAGTTTGCTTCTGTAAAGACTTACAGAAACTCGAGTTGGTCCTATAGGGTGGCTATGAGTGGGGATGACTCTCTAGCCACTCCTCAGCCCGTTTTCCCAGGGTTTCGTCTAACTCCCGACTTTTACAGTGAAGCTGCGGGAGCCCGAGTCCACTCACCTCAGGCCTCAGCCTCCCCTGTCTACGCGGTCCTAACAAGGATATAAACAGTCTATAGCGCGTCACTTCGGTCGAGTTCGCCCCCTCCGATTCCCTCTGTCAGGAGAGAACTACACTCTGGGACTTCCAACTTCGTTCCCCCCCCCCTTCCCGGGCTTGGGGCGTCCTGCCTCTCCTGCAACAGGATTGGATCAGTGGGCCAGTGGAGGGGCGGGGCAAGGCAAGCTCCACGTGCTCATAGGCTACCGCGGGCGTCACTCCGTCATGTGGGCGAGCTGACCGGAAGGTCCGGGTGCCGGTCGCCCAATTCCACAGCGCCCGGAGCTGCCCCGCCGGGGACCCGCGAGTGTCCCGGCGTGCTCCGCGCCCTCCCGCAAGCACTTCCGGGGCAGGCGCCGGGGCGAGCAAGTATTACTCTGTGGCGACGGAGCCGAGAGAGCTGGGGGCGGCCGCGGTCCGACTGAGCGCGGCAGAGGCGAGCGGGCCGCCGAGTTGGCGGCAGCGGCCGGACTGTGGCCAGAGGCCTGAAGCCCGGCTCAGGTAGGCTCCGCGGCGTTTGGGCCGTCAGGTGCCGGCACCTGCTGCCCGCTTGTGAGGCCTGGCCCCGGCGGGAGGCGGCCTAGCCCCTTCACCTGCTCGCCGTGTGATTTTATCATCCAAGCTTTTCGTTTCTAGCGGTGCAGAATGCCATGTGTGCCTAGGGCGGCGAGGAGGCGACAAGCCAGGTTGTTAACTCGAGACTCGCCACGGGCCTGTGAATGAAGTTTCTAAGCTCTAATAGTCCGTTCCCTGCTGCAAGCCCCCCGGGTCGTTTTAACTCACCATGTCCGGGAGGGAGGGGTGCCTTGTGGGCGCGACAGTGGGCCGCCAGCGTCATCTTTTCTAACGACTTCATTTGTGTGTTTGTGTGTTTATTTTAAAAGCAACGGATATTTAGCATTTAAAGAATGCACAGGACCGAAGGGCAGAATGAAAGTTCAAGGGTCCTGTGTACAATTTTACTTCTTGAAGATGTGTTCTGGAAGCAACCCGCTGTATTAATTTATTCTCCTCTTGCTGTGGAGCATCTGTCTGTCATGTGGTAGGGCAGTAACCCAAAGGCTTAGCCTTCCAGAGGCACCGAGGAAGGACGTCCTTGCAGTCTACTTCCTTCCAGAAAATCAACTATTGACAGGTCACTGGGGCACATGTGAGGTCACCATAAGTTCTACTCTGGCACGTGTGAGGTCGCCATCAAGTTGGAATCGACTGGTCTGGTAGCCACTTGATGGCTCCCTGGCGGCCACATCTCTCTCTGTAGGTTCCATGAGCTGGGGTCCGGTTCCAGTTGTCCCTCAGCACTCTGAAGGGTCCCAGAGATGTGAGTGAGTGTCCAGTGAATGGAGAGCTCACATGGACGGCTCCCTGGAGGAGGCATTTGGAGTAAAAGGACACCCCCGCAGAACGTTTGAGCTTTGTATTGAGAACAGCCCTGGACTGACTCTCAGCTTGTTTGGATCCTCATCCAGGCTCTGCTGGCCAGGACTCTTGTGGGCCCGGCTTTCACATCCTCCAGGGGAGCGGCTGGTGATCTCAGGTCCTGCATGTGTGTAGGTCCTGGGGTTCCAGGAAGCAGGGGCTTGCCCCTAACTTTGTGACCTGCTTGCCCCATATTCCATACAGATACTCCCCCTTGGGGACTTTAAATTCTTTGTTCCTCCACTCTGGTGGCTTGTTTGTTGTTTGGCCATCTTGGCTGTCCCCTGGGCTTGGAAGCATTCTTTAAACAGGCATATGTATGAACTGATGGTGCCTGTGGCCTGCAGGCCATTTGAGTGCGACATGGCCTCCTTTGTTTTCTCCTTCTCTCCCTTTTCCACCCAGAATA